TCCCTCCAAGGACAGCACCACCGCCCCCACCAACGCACGGCGGCCCAGGGACAGCAAGGCCAGCGCCCGGTGCTCCGGAGAGCTCTGTGTTCCCTTTTCTTATCGCCTCCCCTGCGGTTGCTAAAAGTTAGCTGACTTCTGAAGACTCCCTAGGAAGCGGTATGTCTAACTTGGGCCACGGCGGCAATATGAAATGAAAGTGACACAGCAGCCCCATGATCCCCGAGGAATACAGAGCAAGACCCACAGGGGCTGCCTGAACCCACAGATGGTGCCCACCCCTATGTACACCATGTTTTTCCTACGTATACACAGTGATGGGAAGATTTAATTTATAACTTAGACACAATAGGGGATTAACATCAATAACTGACAATAAAAGAGAACAATTATAACAATATACTGTAATAAATAGGTGAACGTGGCCTCTTTTCCTCTCAAAATATTTTATTGTATTGGACTCACTTTTCCACTTAAAGGAAGCACTTTAGTGCTTCAAACTGCCAACATGACTTCTGTTGCACACTGAGGCAATTATTACGTAACTGGGGTTACTTGAACACAAGCCCTGTGATACTACATGTGATACTGTGACCGTCAATACGATAACTGAGATGGTTACTAAGTGGTGACCCGGTGGGTAGAGTGGATACACTGGACAAAGGGATGATTCATGATTCCCGGGAAGAACAGAGCAGGAGGGTGCAAGATTTCATCAGCGTCTCAGAAAGGCACACAATCTAAAAATTATGAATTACTTATTTCTGGAAATTTCCATGTAGTGCTTTTAAACCATGGTTGTCTGTGGGTAACCGAAACCGCAGAAAACAAGACCACGGATCAGGGAGACTACTGTACCTCTGCGTCTGGCTTAATCTTGACACCCTGCCTTGGTTTCACACCGTGTTTGCAAGAGGGCAGCCCCCCTGGGCTTGTCCTCCAGAGTTCTGGTAAATCCTGGAGCCGCTCTGATAATGGAATTCCCTTCTGGCATGCTCTAGAAGCCTAATTGAATACAGCAGGAAGCAGTTACGAAAGCCTTTTAGTGTGTCTATCTCCTTCCAATTGCACACTTTCCCAATAGGAAGCAAAGTGGCTCTCTTCTGAGGGGATAACGCAACCCCTCCTCCCTCCCACTCACTTTCCCCTGCACACACATTCCCAATTTCCAATTATTCAAAGCTATGTGGTTCCCCTTCCCACTAAAAGTTTTCTCCTAATTACCTGGAGGCATCCAGGTGTGGCTGAAAATATGCTCAACCCTGGGAGTAAATATACACACACCTAAGGGCCCTGAGCAGCAGATCGTGACAGCCTGTACAGCGAGCCTTGTGCTTCCAGCAACCTGTAGCTGTTTATCTGGTGACTCAGGGAGGATGCAGAGGCCAGATGGTTGGCATACTGCAGAGGCTGACAGTCACTTTCATTTGATTGCTTAAGAATATGTTCAGTGGAAAGGAGGTTTCACATGCCCTCTTCCTCTCTGTAGTTCCATCGTGCAGCTCTCTGAACTCTTATCAAGGGGAAGGAAATAAAACTTTTTAACTGTTTTCTTTGCACTCAAGGTCAGGTAGGAAGGTGAGGCTTACACATCTTGAACTGCACAAAGGTATACATGTAAGTAGACTTAAAATAGATATTGAAATAGTTTTTGTCATTCTGTGGGATCATTTCCAGTCTTTAATTGTTGCTATCGACTGAATGTTTGTGTCTCTGCCAGATTCATGTGTCGAAGCCCTAAGGCGCTGGTACTGGGAGGTGGGATCTAAGGGAGGTCATGGAGGGGACTCGTCCCCTATAAAAGAGGCCCAAGAAAGTTCCCCTGCCCCTTCTGCCACCGGAGGATACAAGGAGAAATCAGCAGCCTGCAACCCCGAAATGGGCCATCAACATGCTAGCATCCTGAGCTTGGACTTCCAGCCTTCAGACTGTGAGCAATAGATTTCTGCTGTTGTTAAGTCACCCTGTTTACAACAGCTGTTATAAGATGTTTGTAAAATACCCACTTGTGACAAGTATGTGGAAGTGGCTGAACTGAGACACAGCGGTAAATGTCCAAACTAGTAGAAGGCAATAAATAAATAAATAAATAAATAAAGTTAGAGTTTGCTCCTCTCTGTCTCTGACACGTGGAGATTGCAGGAACTACAGCATCAAAGATCCTGGGATAACAACTCAGAACCAAGGTCTGTGTCCTGCACGACTTGGGACAAATGTCATTCAACTTCCTGTTCAGGAGCTGGTATAGGGGAATTCTCTTAGACTCTGCTGGGTCCTTGAAATAGTGAATATATACAAGGGGACTCTTAAAGGGGTGAGAAAGTGCTGTACCAAGCAGGTATGAAGGATACATGAGCCACTAACAATAAGTCCCTGCAATCTGCATGGCTTTGCCTCACCTCTTTGGTTTACAGCTAAAATAGCTCAAGTGCGTCCTTTACTGAAAAGTGAGGAGTCTGTGTAGTTTCTTTGAAGGTTTTTCTTTGGAAACACCTAAGTAAAGTGTTATTTAATAATCCATAGTAGTGCTTCTCCAACGTGAATGTGCACCCAGATATTGCATGCAGACTCTGATTCTGTAGATCTGGGGTGGAGTCGGAGACTCTGCATGTCTAACAGGCTGCCAGCTGATGCTGACACTGCAGGTGTGGGGACTACACGTTGGGCAGCAAGGGGTAAAATGCTAAGCACAGAGTGAGAGGACCACACATATTGGGAGGAGGTGCTGACTCTGAGAAATTAGTGTTCTCCACCTTTTATTTAATTCATCTTCAAAATCTGCCTTTCCCACCGAAACCAGTTTGGCTCAGTGGATAGAGCGTCAGCCTGCAGACTGAAAGGTCCCAGGTTCGATTCCAGTCAAGGGCATGTACCTTGGTTGTGGGCACATTCTGCGTACAGGAGGCAGCTGATTGATGATTCTCTCTCATCGATGTTTCTGACTCTCTCTATCCCTCTTTATTCCTCTCTGTGAAAAATCAATGAAATGTATTTTTTTTTTAAATCTGCCTTTCCCAATGGGCACAATAATAGGGCTAATGAACCAGAGTGCAATCAGGAGGTTCATTCATGACATGGCACAAAGTTAACTGTAACAGGTTATCTGAGTGTCTCTCCCCTAAGACTGATGTACTGAGGGCCTTGTCCCTGCTAGGAAGTAGCTAAGTCAGGATGGACTCAGACTTCTTGGCATAGCTAATCCAACTGTGCCACCAATGACACTGTGCAGTGAAAAGGATTCCTGCGAAACCACTCTGAAACAGGGGATGAAACTTCCACTATCAGCAGCTGCCTTCTCCCTAAGCATCTCCGTATGTCACCACTTGTCACAGAGGTCCACGTGAGAGTTGTCTTTAGGAGTTTGGGGAGAAATGATGAGAAGTTATGCAAAGTCGTAATAAGAGTTTCTTTCCTATATCTACTTATCCTTGAGGTCCTCCTACTCCATTGTGGTCAGTGTATGACTTTCTTTCTCTCTTTCTGCGTATTTACCCAAAAGCCCCTTAGGAGTGTTTACTGAATCAAACCCCCTTTTCTTATGTTTATACTGTTTGGTGGACAGAATTGCCATGGGTGATAAGAAGGGACAGTGATGCTAACCCAGATGTGGGAAGCAGATCCTCTCTTGACTGGAGTTTGTGTGACACAGCTTCTCTCATTAGCACATTTTCCTCTTCCTGTGCCATGAATCAGTGTTCTTAACTGTCCCAGTGCTCTCCTTACTGGACATCCTTTCTGGATACCCTCAATCTTCAATTCCCAACACTATATCCTGACTTTCTCCAGTCCTCAACTCTAATTTTCATGAGTCTCAACTTCACTTAACTCCAAGCTGAACAACTCATAAGGGCTTATCACAGACACCTCGGGCTCACCATATAAAACAAAACAAAATCATATTCTTGCCTAGACCTGCTCTTCCTCCTGAATCCCCCATTCTGTTATTCTTGCCAAATATCCTCATTACCACCTTCTTCCAAAACACAAAGTTTGGATGGCGATCTTACAAAAACATATGGCTCTAAATACCATCTATATGCCAATGACTCAAGTCTACTGAACATCTCACCTGCATGTCTAACACATGCCTTGAAATCAACATGATCAAAAAAGACCTCATATTTAACACAGCCCATCCCATCCACCAGTCTTCCCCACTTCAGTAAATAGCACCATCATCCATCAACACACAGGCCCAAGAAGCTGAGAACCATCTTGTTATCTTCTCTCTATCTCATACCCTATATTTAACCCTTCAGTAAATCATAATTTCTTTACCTTAAAAGATGTCTTGCCCTTAATCTAACCTTCTCACCATCTCCCCTCACAGCTCATGTCATCATCATTTCTTGCTTTAGTTACATAGCTGCCTCCTAAGTAATCTTCCCTGCTCTATTATTCCTCCTCCCCCCAATTCCATTCTCCATACCACTCAATGACATGTATGCCACATAAATCAGATCAAATCATTCCCCAGTGGCTTTCCAGCACACCTGAAGAAGAATCCACACTCCTTTCCATGGTTGACAAGTGGCTAACCATTTGTTATGCCCATCCATACTAGTACAGGTCTATAATCGATACATTAATTTACCTTTATATTTTTTTAGAGTTATGGGAGGAATTGAAAATGGGAAAGTAGAAAAGAATGATCCAATTATTATTAGATACTTAATATTTACCATTCATTTGAATTAAAATACATGCATGCATATCTGAATATTCACACAGATATGAAGCTTTAAATACAACCAATATATTAATTTATATAACAATGCATAATAATAAGCTTTGTTATGGGATAAACAGGATCCCATGTTTTCCTTTATAACGTTATGCCTACAAATCCAGTTTCAGCACCCTAACTTTTACTTGATCACTTCTGCTGCTGCTACAGATACTTCTAGTCAAATCACTTTCCATGGCACATGCTCATTCTGGAACCTTGTCTTTGAGCTACTTCTCCTTTTTTTTTTCTTTCTATTTTTTTCTTATTTTTCTTTTACTATCTTTTGCAGCATCATTCTTCTGTGGTTTGAAGCTGTTTTTAGCAAAGGGCTATCATGCAGTTTGGGGATGGAATCTCCACTAGCTTCTTGACAAACAGATTAAGACTATAAAAACAAGGATCATTTTTTTTTATTAAAGCCTTCCTTGAATAAATATGGAATGAGTTATTATAGAAAATTACAATGCTGAAATAAATATGGTACAATAAAATGATTGAACAATGTTCTTGGATTTGATTTTCTAAGTCATGTTGTTAAGTAAATAGCATAGAATCTGGTTTCTTATATAATATGATACTCTATTTCATACCACATAATGTATCACATTAGCCTCAGTACTTCTTTGGGGAGATGGGGTAAATAAAAATTACATGACTTACTGTTACTGTTACTTCAATCATTTTCTTTTTTTCCTATCAGCCATATAAAACTTATCAACAAAGAGTGAAAAGAAGATGGGGAAGACTAGGAGAATATTCTTCTTCTGTGTCACACTAAGCAAATTATCTTACCTTGCTGGGCCTCACTTTTCTTATAAGTGAATTATCTCCTGGGTCATTAAATTATATCCATTCAGCAAATACCTACACTTTTTCACTTACTTTGTTTCAGGCACAAGCCCTTCATGAAGTTCATTAATTTTATAATAAGTCACAAGCATTAAAATAGATCATAAGAAATGATGACGATTTCTTATCCAATTCATTAAATGACATTCTGCATGACAGATTCTGGTATCAACAAGTAACTGTAAGATTTACTCATTAGGCCTTACCAGGAGTTGAAAGTGATTGATTGCCAAGACCTCAAACTCCAAAGTCCCTTGCCTGGACATCCACCAATCTTCTTTGTTCCCCTTCTCTTCTTCAAGCTTCCTGTGGTAAATTGATTGCAAAACAGTCCTAAATTACTCCCCTCTCTGGTCCCAATGCCCAGTCCCCTGAGATGTGACTTGGAGATTTCTTTCATCAAGAAATAGAATCTAGTTGGGCTGTGACTTGCTGTTGCCAGTAGGATGTGGAGGAAGTGACAGAACCTGGTCCTCAGTAAGCCTTACAGCTTTTTCTTGCTTTCCTGGAGCCCTGCCTTTACCATGGTACATGTCCAGGCTAGTCTGCTGGCTGATGAGAGACCACACGGAGCAGACACCAGTCAGTCTAGTTGTCCAAACACATGAGAGAACCCAGTCTAGATGAGAAGTCACCCAACTGACTCACAAACTCAAAGCAAAACCTTCAGAGCAAAGGTAAAGGTTTATTGGTGTCTGCCATTGAAGTTCTGTGGTTTAGTTTGTAAAGTCACATGATAATAGGTACTCCTTTTGAACTTGTGCACCAGTCAGTGGTTACCACTAGTCCCTCCCTTCTCTCTATTCTCCCAGTCCACCTCCCTCAATGGCTTCACATGCATTTCTATCCACGTTCACCCAGGGGAAGTAAGGAGATCAGTCATGAAAGGCCTGACAGGTGTCAAATTCCTGGCCCCTTAGGTGATCCTGTGGTAAAGGGCATTCCTGGCATTGGGTTGCACATGATACCCCACATTAAATTTCTAATTTCAATTTGGGTTGCATTGATGTTTTATTTCTATATTTTTGTCTCTAATTAACAATTCAGAACATCATTGGAACCTATTATATGATAAGGACACTGTATGGGTTTTCTCAGTCCACCTCCTTAGTCCTCACCACCCAACAGTGGCCCTGGCTTTGTATAAATGATCCATATTTCTATGCAATTGCATTCACCAATCAGAGTTCCCTTCTTCCTCCTCTTCTTAAATTTCAACCCATTCCCCACCTCTTGCACACCCGTCCTCCTCTGTCTCATCCATAGTCAGTCATCATTCCTGTTTGAATCATTCTCAGTCTAATCAGTGTGGGCGAGTTCCTGAAAAATATGCATGTAAGAAAGTAAGTGACTAGATTGTGTCATTGGCACCTAATATAAAGAAAAGACCTATCAGGACAACAAAGGCTGGAGCCACTAATTCTGGTTTGAAGAGTCAAGGAAAACCTTCAAAAGATAAATCATCAGCTACAATTGGAAAAAAGGAAAAAAGACTTTCTCCAGGTCAAGAAGAGAAGACAGAAATGCCTGTCTGTTTCCATAGTCACTCCCTCCCTAGTCCTTTGTAGTCTGGCTCCCACTATGCCAGCCAGTGAAATGGTTGTGTTGACAACTTTCTACTTACCAAAACAAGAACACATTGCTGTTGAGCAGCTCCCTCTGACTCATCATCCCTGTTTAATGAAGTCATGACACTTTCTCTTGAGTGCTTGTTGTGGGCCAGACCTCCCACCAACATCCTCATCTCACCCTCACAATAACTCATTGAAAACATGATGAATCAGAGAGAGTTGAGACCAATTTCCCAAGGTTTTATGACCACAAAAGAGCAGGATCAGGGCTTCGACCCCAGTCTGTCTGATTCCAAACCTGTACATACAGTCTCCATGCCCTTACTTTTTGGTCTCTGATTGCTGGATAATCCTCTTCCTTCACCCCTTCTTGTTCCTTCTGGTCTATAACCTCACCGACTCCAAATTTCCATCAGTGACCTTCTCAGCTCTTCATTTCCTTTCTCTATGTATGACCTCGCTCTTTGGCTTCTCTCTGCAGCTGCCTCTCAAATCCCAGAAGCCACAACCTTGCATGTACAATTGCCTGCGAGATGCCCTTAATTTGGTGTTCCCTAATGGCATCTTAAATCCAACATGTCCAAAACTGGATCATTGTCTTCCCCAAAAACCAATTCCACCTCCTGACCATTTTCTCTGAGTCAGGGATGCTAAAACTTAGATTGGGCAGCTTATTTCTGACAGCCTCCTTCACCCTCCCTACATTCAATCAATTTCAGTCTTTGACATGTCACTGGAATCCATCCAAACCCACTGATAACATTGCTTATTATGCCTGGACTTCCTGTCTCAGTTTCTCTCACTTCAGTCCACCTCTGCATAGAGACAGACTAATGGTTCTGATGCTCAGCTTGGATTATGTCACTGCTCTATGCACAAAACTGTAACAGTTTCCCCCTTGTTATCAAATAAAGACCAACATCTACATATTAGTGTTGCAGGTCCTTACATCTCCAACCTGGACTCTAGCCTTATCAACTGTAGTCAATCTGCACATCTCCTGTGCTGCAGCAGCCCCATGGCAGGTAGGAATAAGGGGTCCTCTCTGCACGTTTACACCTTTGTATCTTCATGCTTTCTCCACTTCCCTAACTGTTCATCCTTGAAGGTGCTTCTCCACTGTTACCTCTTTCATGACTTCCCTGATCCCCTCAAACACATGACTGACCCACATCAATTTTTTTAGCCCATATTTGCCCCTGAATTAGTGTACCTGTTTTATCTCTCTATTAAAGCGTATGTCTCTTAAGGGAATGATTGACTCTCATGGATGCAAATATTTAGAAAATTGACTCAAAATAATAAATGATGATTATATAAATATGGTGGTAACTATGGTTTTATAACTCAGGGATAATACTTTTAGAAATGTTCAAATCCTCCAAAGAGTGAACTGGAGAGGTGTGCCATGTGGTCAAGAAAGATCAAACAGCTTCAGGAAACTTAAACATTGTGCGGTGTAGGCCTCTCGCTAATTAAAGTTTTTGTACCAATAGCATTGGATCTCTCAAAAAATGTGAATTTTTGGGTCTTCAAAATCATCTGTTTGTGCGATTGTGGGTTAGTATGAAAAGGCAGTTCTGTAGAAAACTAACTTTGCATTTTGATAAATAGCTTTTGTGGCCAGTTTGGGTAACTCAGTGACACTCTTTTGTGTATTTTGGCAGGGCTGTTCTTAAAAGATATGATTATGTGTAACAGGCAAATATATCATGAGTGTGTATCCTTTTGGGAGGACTTCTTGGATTTAATAAACCTATTCATAAAATGAGCCCTAGATGTTCCTTTAGAAGATCTGACCATTTGATATTAGCATTTTGAGAAACCCTCTACCTGAATTCCCTCATTCATTGAAAATTATGTTAAATCCCACAATATGCACATTCACTTCTTTAAACATGCAGGGACATTATAAGGAATAAAATAACAGTTTGAGTCAGAAGCAACAGAGTTCAGCTCCCCTCATCCCTACTTCTGCCCTCCCTCCCCCCCAAGCCCCCACGTCAGGGCAACTAAACAGAAAAAGAATATCATCTGCAAACCTACACTTTTTATCCCATTAGTGCAACAAAAACAAAGATTTTCTCACTCTAGTAAGTTCAATGTTTCACATTCTTTACTGTATTTAAGTGCCAAAATTTGTTTTAGCTCATACTTTCGTCTCCCTCCCCTCCCCTCCCCCTTCCCTTCCCTTCCCTCCCCTCCCCTCCCTTTCCCTCCCCTCCTCTCCTCTCCTCTTCTCTTCCTTTCCTTTCTTCCCTTCCCTCCCCTCCCTCCATTTCTCTCCCCTCATCTCCCCTCCTCTTCTCTTCCTTTCCTTCCCTTCCCTTCCCTTCCCTTCCCTTCCCTTCCCTTCCCTTCCCTTCCCTTCCCTTCTTTCTCTCTCTCTCTCTCTCTCTCTCTCTCTCTCTCTCTCTCTCTCTCTCTCTCTCTCTCTCCCCTCAATCATGCAGATCCCTCCTTTATCTCTGCCTGCTCTCATTTAGTCTCTTTGACATTATCTCTCCATCTTGGGCCTCAGACATATGTGCTGCTTTTCTACATGTACTACCACGGTCACACCATTCAATCCCATGTCTAAATATGCAGAAACCATCTATATACCCATGGCTCTATATACCCATGGCTCTCTACTTCACATCCCCAGATCTGTAATCCCTGAAGCCTCCTCAAATTATCCACTTGATGGCTAGTGAGCATTGGAAGTTTGTTATTTCCCAAACTTAGTCCCTCCTCCTGACCTTACTGTTCCTGTTGCCTCACCACCACATACAGCAGCTCCATTCTTTCAGTTGCTTAGGCCAAACATGGTGGCAGGTGGCAATATTCCTGTTCTCCAAGAAGAGGCAAGTCCGGGGGTCTGTCCCTTCAATAGGACCTCTGGCCACTGCTGAAGGCTCCTCAGCTCCGACTGCTGTCACTTGGCCCAGATGCCTCCTCTAGCCTGGATTTTGGCTTCCTTCCTAACTGGTCACCCTGCTTTTGCCCCTGCTGCCTTTCGATTTATTCTTTATTAAGAGGCACTGTGATCCTGTTAAGAAAATAGGTCAGATATGTCCCAACTTCACTGGGAGGAAAACTGTGTCCTGAAAAGCTTCCTGGTTTGGTTTGGTTACCAGCTTCTCTGAAAGTTTCTCCTTGAAACTCCTGTTCCCATTGCCTGCTGTGCTTTTCCTGATAACCACTTTGCTTGCATCTCTCAAAGTCACCCTAGCAGGACTTGGGGCCTACCACACCCCCATCTGCTCCCTGTGGCCTGTGACTCCTGCTACCTCTTCATGGTCCTGCCTGAGGGAAACCTCGAGCTGTGTCCTCCCTGATTATGTGGTCCTCAGCCACCTGGACTCCCAACTGCCCCCATATTAACTCACTCCCAAGCACATCCTTCACTGAACTTCCCTTTTTTGTCGACCTCCCCACCTCCCCACCTCCCCACCTCCCTACCTCCCCACTGGGAGCTGTGGAGTTGCCTTCCAAAGTAACCTCTTGAACCCACTAAACTGCCCCTCAGGGAAGGATTTGGATTCAAGTTGTTTCTTTTTTTCACAGGTATAACATCTGACAGAATGTTGGAATTGAAAAAGCCTCAGAAGGGGTTGCATCTTGTTTCCTTTCCCGTGCAGAAAACCTGATGACATTCCTGACAGGTAATCAATGGTTTCTCTCTCTTTGGATTATTCTTATGATGGGGATTTGCAACTTTGTACAGGCTGTTCCTTTGCTACAAATCCCAGCCAGCTTCAAAATGAAGTATGGTAGCAATCATACTTGGGTGCTATTTGGCTTCTGTATTCATTTGTTTGCTAAGATAATAGAAGAGTTATTTTGATTTTTTGAACTTCTGTATGCGATCACAATACTCCATTAATAATGGTTTAAATATCCCATTGATTGTGATCTCACTGGTCACCGAAGCACATTCTTCCTAGAATCCTAAGTTGTCTCAGTAGCTACAGATAGTGTATTCCTGTTGATTCAGTGATTCATAGATACTTTAGATAACTAATTTGCTCAGTTCCACTTCTAAAAATCGCTAAACAGGTTTCTCATTCCAGACCCAAAGATGTAATTGATACTTTTGTGATATTCTGCCAATATAAGACAGAAGTGGCAAGTTGTTCGAGGCTGCGAGATTTGGAGCTTTAGTCCCTCGCATGCCACCAGCCTTTAATAAATGACTCCATAATTCAACTTTTTTGAGGCGTCCTTTATAAGATGAGGGTTAGACCACAACATTTTGACAAAAGTTTCTTAAGAGAAAGCTAAATCCAGGCAGACCAACAGCAGTGAGGGCGGCTGGTCCCACTTGCAGTTCTCTCTGGGAGGGGCAACTAAGCCACCACTGTGCTGTTGTATGGCTCAGGACTGCTGC